AGACTTCAATTAGAAAAGTGAAATAGTGAAATTTCCCCAGGAAAGTTTTCCCATTAATGAGGCAACTTTTCATTAGTTCTATACTGACTACACAAAATGAAACAGTAATGTTCATTTTTGAAAAGCATGTTGGGAATTATGCATTTTGGTAGATGAATGGCTTTGAGAAAAGACTTTATTGTACAACTTCAAATGATCTCTACTGGACATCTATTCTATTTCTAATACTGATCATTCTTTTTCCAGTTTTAAAATATCTATTTTAGGAATTTCAAACAAGAAGAAATACTCTTTCAGCAGACCAGAAAGGCTCTTCACCCAACTTCCTCCCACTCCCCCTCCAAACCAAGTCCGTTTCCCAACAGCCTGGAATGCTATGCTGAACTTACTTATACTGATTATATACTTATGTAAATATAAATATGTAATTTTATACTTATTATATTTACATTGAGCCTAATGGGATTGCATTTTTAGAGCTTTGCCAAGGTCAGGAGTAGAAAGAAGTAAAGAAGATATGAGAGCATGAATTATATTCATTCACAAAGTGCAATCTTGAATTGGGTCCTAGAAGGGAGACTTTAGCACCTAATCTCATGACCCAAAAAAAGAAGAAAGAAAGGTATCAAACATGAATTTTATCTAATTATTTTCCCAAATCAATTAGAATAATAGATGAGCTACACTAGTGAAATACATACTAATTACATATTTCTAGTAAATTAGGCACTATACTAGGGATCCCTAAGCATGGAGAAGAGCTATTCACAAAATCTGCTATTTCCCCCCCAGCTTTATTAAGCTATAGTTGACATATAACATTATGTAAATTTGTGTACAACACATTGATTTGATAGACTTACAGACTAAAATGATTACCATTATAGTGTTAGCTAACACCTCCATCACCTCACATAATTACCATTCCTTTTTTGTGGTGAGAATATTTAAGATCCACTCACCAACTTTGAGTATATAACACAGTATTATTAGTTATAATCACCATACCATATACTAGAGCCCCAAAACTTATCTTTTAACTAAAAGCTTGTACCCTTTGACCAATGTCTCCCGTTTTCTCCAATACCATCCCCTGGTTAACGACCCTTCTGTTCTCTGTTTCTATGAGTTCAGCTTTTTTAGATTCCACATAAGTGATGTCATACAGTATTTGACTTTCTTTGTCTGACTTATTTAACTTAGCACAATGCCCTCAGGATTCATCCAAGTTGTCACTAATGGAAGGATTTCCTTTTCTCATGACTGAATAATATTCCGTTGTCTCTGTGTGTGTGCGTGTGTGTGTGCGTGTGTGCGTGTGTGTGTGTGTGTGTGTGTGTGTGTATCTTGGCTCTTGTGAATAATAAAATCTGTTTTGTTTTCAGATTTTTATTGGAGTATAGTTGATTTACAACGTTGTATTAGTTTCAGGTATGCGGCAAAGTGAATGAGTTATACGTATACACATATCCACTCTTTGTTTTTAGATTCTTTTCCCATATAGGCCATTACAGAGTAGTGAGTAGAGTTCCCTGTGCTATACAGCAGGTTCTTATTAGTTATCTATTTTATATATAGTAGTGTGTATATGTCAATCCCAATCTCCCAATTTATCCCTCCCAAAATGTGTTATTTAAAAAAAAACATTTTACTGAAGTATAATAGTCATATAGAAAAAGTGTATATATCATAAGTGTACAGCTATTACTAAGTGATCATATCTGTGATATTAACACCAGATCAAGAAATAAGATATCACCAGCAGACCAGAAACCCGATCATGCTTCCTCCTGAATAACCTGGTTTTGAGCTGAGCTTTCTCTTGGGGAAGAGAACAACATTCATTATTCATTTTGTCATTTATTTAGCTATCATTTATGCATTCTACAAATAATTATTAAGCACCTCCTATTTTCCAAGCATTACTGTGCATATGAGAACAACAGCCATAAACAAAACAGACAGAACTCTCTACACTTACGGAGTTTATACTGGAAGAACACAGATCATAGATGATGTGAATAAATAAAATGTAATAGCAAGGGGGAAATAAAGTAGAAAAATGCTATAGTAAATGCTGGGATACAATTTTAAGTAGCTTGTACAGGAAAGAGCTCTCTGAGAAGGTGACATTTGCACCTCCTAAAGGGATCAATTCCATACATGTAAGTGAGGGGAGAACATTCCAAGAAGAGGAACAGCAAAGCCTTGAGGGAGGGATCACAGTACAGCAAGGAGCCCAGTACCGTTGACACAGAGTGACCACAGAGACAGTTATAAAGGAGGCAGTCATTAAAGTAACAGGAGGCCATCTCATGTAGGATTTTGTAGACCATTTTAAAGGCGTTAGCTATTATTCTGAATGAAGGTTTTGAAAAGAGCAGTGACGTGATGTGATTTATGTTTTGAAAGAATGACTGTGCCTGCTGAATTGAAAATACACTGCAGAAGGACAAGAGCAAAAGCTAGACAGCTAGTTAGCCACAGCAGTAATCCACAGAGGCTGGTTTATACCATGGTGGTAGTGGTGGAGGTCATGAGAGGTGGATGAATCCTAGGTCTATTTTGGAGGTGGAGAATTTGTTCAGAGTTGATGTGCTATGTAAGAAAAGAGAAGCATAATTCTGTCTTTGTTGCTTCTTTATAATCCTTTATTTTAGTAGTTCAACCTTGGGGCAGCAGATACCTGAAAAATACTAAGGATATACCTGGTTCAGTTCTACCTTTACCAGTGATTCTTAGAAGGGGCTTGTCTAAACTCTCCCTGAATTATCTCTATTGATATGGAACTCACCAGAGTCTAAAACAGTCCCTTTAGATGTTTGAATTATTTAACAAAACAAATTAGAAAATACTTCTTTATACCTCGGAAATAATTATCAACAGACAGACTACTATTACATTTTCTATTTCTTCTCAGAAAGTGGTTTTCAAGGAATTTGTTAATTCCGTCTAAGTGGTCAAATTTATTGGCATACGGTTATTAATAACATTTCCACATTATCCTTTTAATATCTATATTTATATAGTGTACCACTTTTTATTTTTAATATTGCTAATGTGTGTTTCTTGCATTTTGTCAATTTTGTAAATAGTTTATCAATTTATTAATCTTTTCACACAACCAATGTTTGGCTTTGTTCTGTTTTCTATTTCATAAATTTCTTTTCTTTATTATTTGTTTTCTTCTATTTCCTCTGAGCTTAATTTGCTTATTATTTGCTAGTTTCTTGAAACGGCGGTTTATTGATTTTAAAACTTTTTATGTATTTACTTAAAACTTTCCTTCAAATCACTGCATTAGTTACTGAGTTTTGATATTTTGTATTTTCATTATCATTCAGTTCAAAACACTTCTACATTCCATTATGATTACTTTAGAGTCATGAGTTCTTTAGAAGTGTGTTGCTTAATTTCTAAATACTGAGGAATTTTATAGCTATCATATTTATTACTATAATTATTCCACTGTGATCCTAAAACTTACATTTTATGACTTCAATTTTGAAATTTATCAACACTGGCTTAATGACCCAGCATATGGTCTGTTTTGGCAACAATTTCATGTCCACTTGAAAGGAATGTATAGTCTGCAGCTGTCAGATATAGAGGTCTATAAATATCATTTAGGTCAAGCTGGTTAATTTTGTTTTTCAAATATTATATGTTGATATTTTTTGTCTGGGGTATCAATTATAAAAAGAAGTATGTTAATATTTCCATTTATGTTTGCAAATTTGCCTATTTCTCCCTTCAGTCAGTCAATTTTTGCCTCATATATTTTGAAACTATAGGTACATAAATGTTTGGGATTGTTAATTACTGAACTTATTATTTTATAATTAGAAATTCTCTTCTTTATCTCTGCTATTACTTCTTGTCCTAAATTCTACTTTGTGGGATATTAATATAGATATACCACCTTTTGTGTGATGAGTGTTTGCATGTATATATTTTCCATCCTTTTACTTTTAACCTACTGGTTGAAATATAAAGATATAGTTAAAGAATCATTAGAGAAATGCAAATCAAAACTACAATTAGGTATCACCTCACACCGATCAGAATGGCCATCATCAAAATATCTACAAATAATAAATGCTGGAGAGGGTGTGGAGAAAAGGGAACCCTCTTGCACTGTTGGTGGGAATGTAAATTGATACAGCCACTATGGAAAACAGTATGGAGGTTCATTAAAAAACTAAAAATAGCACTACCATATGACCCAGCAATCCCACTACTGGGCATATACCCCGAGAAAAACCATAATTCAAAAAGAGTCATGTGCCACAATATTCATTGCAGCTCTATTTACAACAGCCAGGACATGGAAGCAACCTATGTATCCATTGCCAGATGAATGGATAAAGAAGATGTGGCACATATATACAATGGACTATTACTCAGCCATAAAAAGAAATGAAACTGAGTTATTTGTAGTGAGGTGGATGGACCGAGAGACTGTCATACAGAGTGAAGTAAGTCAGAAAGAGAAAAACAAATATTGTATGCTAACACGTATATAGAGAATCTTAAAAAAAGAAAAGAAATTGGTTCTAAAGAACCTAGGGGCAGGACAGGAATAAAGACACAAAAGTAGGGAATGGACTTGAGGACATGGGGAGGGGGAAGGGTAAGCTAAGACAAAGTGAGAGAGTGGCATTGACATATATACACTACCAAATGTCAAATAGATAGCTAATGGGAAGCAGCCGCATAGCACAGGGAGATCAGCTCCATGCTCTGTGTCCACCTAGAGGGGTGTGATATGGAGGGTGGGAGGGAGATGCAGAGGGAGGAGAAATGGGGATATACGTGTAAGTATAGCTGATTCACTTTGTTATATAGCAGAAACTAACACACCATTGTAAAGCAATTATACTCCAATAAAGATGTTAAAAATAGTTATTATAAAAAAAAAGATATAGTTAAAGTATACTTCTTGTAAATATTATAAGTTGAGTCATTTTGTTTCTCCAGTCTGATAATGTCTGTTCTGTAACTGAAGTACTTGGTCCTATTAATATTTAATGTAATTACTGACACCACTGAATTTAAGTCTTTCATAATCCTATTTTTAAAATTTCTGTGTTTTTTTTCCCTTTGGTCCTACTTTAAGATTAATAAAGTTATTATCATCATCATCATCATCATCATCATTATTAAACTCACACTTCCAAAAGACCACCAAGAACAAATAATGTTCCTGCTTCTACATGAAAAATCTATGTATTTTTTACCTTGGGAAACATACTGACAACTATCATATACTGAGCACTTAGTGTATGCCAAACACTGTATTACGTGTGCATATAAATGCATTATCTGATTTGATTTCCTAAAACAAATGAGGCAAGAGCTATTATTATTCATGTTTTTCAAATGAGAAACTAAGGCTCAGAGAAGTCAGATAAATCACTCCTCTAACTAGTGGCAGAGCTGGGACTCAGAAACCCATATGGTTACCCAGCATTTACCTCTGAGTCTCTCCTTTCTAGATGGTATATAACCAGTGTCTTCATTTAAGAAAAAAAAAAAAAGGGATATTATTTCTTGCATGGTAGTTTTTTTCCTATGGGCATACCTCAGTTTATCTGTGCCCAGTATCATGTAGGATTTCTGTTTTCTTATTGCTTCACTTTTCCTTGTGCCTTGGTTTAGTTGCTTCCCTAGTAAAAAGAAGCCAATCTAGGAGGTTAAATCTACCTAACAGTGGTGTGAAACGAATATGTGAGTTTGTATAACCTATGTTACAGTTCCTTTACTAACCATTTATTCATACACGATTGAGGAAATCAAGAGGTTTTCCCCAAGCTCCTATCTCTCGAGTGCCATTGAGCAAATGTGCTTTATGTTTTGCTTGTTCAGAACTCTGAGATGTGCAGACACTACCGAGTATTACCCAGGATGGGTTACCTGTGTCCAAAGGATTTACAGCCTGTCTGTGGTGATGATGGCCAGACATACAACAATCCTTGCAGGCTCTGTCATGAAAATCTGTAAGTATACAAGTCCAATGAGTCCATCTTCCAGTGTAGAGGCGCTTGATGACAGTGTTGACCCACAGCAGTGTACTGATATGAATGTGAGGTGTGTTGCAAACAATTTACTAATCATAGCAGTTAAAATTCAAATGTTGTGAATGATCTTATTCATGCATAAAATAGAGAGGATTTAAGGTTATCCCTTTAATAAAACTGTTCATATAGTTTACTGAGTGGAAGAGAAAGGAAAAAGTGGTGGGGTTACAATAATTAGGGAAAATCTAAGCCCATGTGCACTCATGGGAGCATGAACATCATCTACCCTTCGTGTAAAGAGAAAAAAGTTGAAAATCATTGCGATACAGAGTCAGCCCAGCCTCTAATCTCTAATGGCCTTATGACTACCTGATAGTCACAGATTTCCCATCCTCTCCAAGTCTTCTTGGAGCAGGAAGTGCTATCATGCAGAAGAAAGCACACTGGAGCAACCGGCAGACCTATTCTCAATTTATTACAATCTATCTGCAGGCATATTATCTCATCATTCTGAGATTAACTTTCTTCCCTGGAAAACTTGAGATAGTTCTCTGGGCCAGCTGACTTCACAGGATTATTGGGAAGAATTGCGATTTTTATTTCAGTTAAATACCAGGAATTTGTTTTAATACTTTAATTATTGGTTGTAGATTTGTGGTTGCTTTTCTGCTCGAATGCTATTTACTCTCACCTCCATTCACATTCTTCGCCTGTTTCCAGCCTTCATTGGACCAGCTTTATTAAATAAGGGCATGGTGGCAAATCTTGACTTTTCTACCCCACCCCACCTCAGACTTACATTGCAGTCCGTATATGTTCATTCTCTCCTTCTTAGAACACTGTAAGCAAGGCCCAGAATGTGAGGATGGGACTGATATCCTGCTTTTCAATCCCAGGAAAATATCTGAATTTACATTTACTTCCTTTTAAATCAACTAACTCACAAAAGCAAGAGCCATTCTGCAGTTCATATACATAGACTAAAATCTGAATATGAGTGCTTTATGTGTTATATCTGTAAGTAAGTCACTTTCATATTCACAGTTTCACTGAATCCTCACTGCTCACTACAGAGTGGTATCATCTTCATTGCACAGATGGTTAATCTGAGGCTCAGAGAGTCCAGGTAATTTGTTTAAAATGACAAAGCTAGGAAGTAGATCAGACTGGATTTGAATCTTGTTGATTTGGGTCTAGAGACAGTTTTCTTTTCTCTCCACTACACTACTGTTATATCCAAGGCAGTAGTTCGTTAAACATTTGGGGATCAAAGATTCCTTTGATAATATAGAGAAAGTTACCTCTTTCCACAAAGGAAAAGAAAATGATGAAACATTAAAAATCTGTATGCATAATATCTGTGGGCACATAAATCTCTTGAGATCTATCCACGGATCTTACAGAGTTTTAATGATTAAGGAATCTTAATTCTTAAATGTTTAAGGAATGAGTACTACCAATTCATGAATCTGTTGCTATATATGTCTTATTTTCACCCCAGAAATCCTTCAACTTCTCTTTATTATAAATGTCAGGCCCTAAATTATCCATCCAGTGCTCTACAAGCATTCCATTAACTGTATAAACCCACAGTAAGTTTACTCAAGGGAGCTTCAGAAATTACAGAAATGCCCATAATAAAAATATTGATAAAGGATTGTTTAGCTAAAGAACTGTGAGTATACATTAGGAAGAGAAGATTCAGGCTATCCCAGGCAAGATGGAACATTATTGGTTTCCATGGTCTTAGAGGAAGTTATAGGCAAGCAGTTTCAACTTGCACAATGTTCAAAGACAAAATGAACTGTCCTGATAGACAGTGAGTTTCCTATCACCAGAGCAAACAAGTAGATGTTTGCTATATAATATTTCTTACGAGAAAGGCATTAAAATTCATGTTTCAAGATTCTTTCCAACTATTGATATAAAATTCACACTCTATGATCATATATTGTTATATTTTATAACATACATATAGAATTTATATATATTTATATAAAGTACATTTTACAAAATATATTCTATTTTATAATCCCCAAGTCACATTATAGGTATCCAATAAAGTCAAACTTCTCTCTGGGATCCAGTTTTCCCATCTATAAAATAATGGCTTTTGCTCTAGATGATCTCCAGGTTTATTTCTGACATTCAACAATTCCATGACTGTATAGTGTACAGGAGAATGAAATGTGATGAAATAGATCCAGGCCTGGAACACAAATCTGGGGCTCAGTCAGAAGAGAGAGAATGAACCTGAATGATGCCTACTGGAAAACAGTTGAATGCAGATCCCGGCCCCTACCCCTAATTTCAGTTCTGGTTTGATGCCCAAATGTCATAGTGATCCTTGGTTGTGTTTTGTCTCTTTGTTTCTTCTTTATAACTTTGAGTTTTCCCGTCTTTGAAACTTCCTCTTCCGTTTTAGAATACGCCAAACTAATACACGCATACGCAGCGAAGGAAGGTGTGGGGAGAGGAGCAACCCAGAAACAACACCTCTCAGCCTGCCAGCATCTGTAAGTACACCGGTGCTCATGATTACAGTGTCAGAACCAGGTGGTTCTGCTTCTGTTCTCTTGAACTGAGTGATCGACATTTCTCTGGCCAGGGAAATGATACTAGGTTAGATAACCCCAGAATTGGTCACATCTTCATTGTGAAGATAAGTGATTACTGAAATATGTGGGAATAAACATATAGTAGTTAACATTTTTAAATGTTTACAGTTTACTGGGATCAATGACAGACTGTTTATGAGCAATGTACATAATGTAACACTTCTGCAGAGTTGATTTTATTTCCTGTGATCTGCCATACAAAGATGAGACAGAGACCAAGCGAGGTCAGATACTGAAAGAAGTGGACTTAAACCTTATATCCTCGTATCAATACTTTGCATTAAACTGTTTACCAACATGAAAAGTTGCCTTTTTCATTTAAATCCCTATAAGGATGTTATGACACACGTTACAGTAATTTCACCTTATCTGAGGTTTTGCTTTCCATGGTTCTAGTTACCCAAGGTCCAAAAATACTAAATGGAAAATTCCAAAAATAAACAACTCACAAGTTTTAAATTGTGTGCTGTTCTGAGTAGCGTGATGAGATCCCGCACTGTCTTGCTCCATCTCACCCAGGAGGTAAATCTTCCCTTTTTCCAGCATATCCCACCTCTTAGTCACTTACTAGCCATCTAGGTTATCGGATCAACTGTCATGACATCACAGTCTTTTGTTCAAATAACCCTTATTTGAATGAATAACGCCCCCAGAGTGCAAGAGTAGTGACACTGGCAATTCGTATATGCCAAAGAAAAGCCAAAAAGGTCTTCTATGTGCAAAGTAAAAGTTCTCACCTTAATAAGGGGGAAAAAAATATTGTGTGCTGAGGTGCTCAGATCTTTGGTAAGAATGAATCTTCTATCCACGAAATTGTGAAGAAGGAAAAAGAAATTTATGTTAGTTTTGCTGCTCCACCTCAAAGTGCACAAGTTACAGCCACACTGTGTGATAAGTGCTTAGTTAAGATGGAAAAGGCATTAGATTTGTGGGTGGAAGACATGAATAGAAAATGTGTTCTGACTGGCGGCAAGGTGCTGGGCCAGAAAGCATCAGGCCTCTACCAAGACTCCGGCAAGGGATGCCGTGAAATTAGTGACACCAAGCCATTTACTACAAGTAAAGTATGGTTACACAGATTCAGGAATAGATTTGGACTGAAAAATATAAAAATTACTGGAGTGGCTGCGTCTGCCAATGAAGAAGCTGCTGCCACATTTCTGACAGAGTTGAAAAGGTTGATTAAAGAGAAAGGATGTCATACAAAACAAGTCTTCACTTACAATGAGGCTCCTCTGAAAGAAGATACCCAACAGAACCTGCATTCATAAAAGTGCAAAGGAGGCACCAAGGCATAAAACATGGACAGACAGATTAACTCTGGTACAAACCACAGGGCATATGATTAAGCCAGGCACAGTGTACAGAGTGAAGAACCCACTTGCTCTCAAAAACAAAAATTATCTGCCTGTGTTCTGATACCACCATAATCAGAAAACATGGGTGATAGCCATCTTGTTTATGGAATGATACCACCAATGCTTCAACCCAGAAATGAAAAAATACTTGGAAGAGGAAGGCTTGGGATTTAAAGTCCTACTAATACTAGACAGTGCACCTGGCCATCCTGAATCTATTCGCTATGAAAATGAAAATTTCAAGGTTGTATTTTTGCTTCTATATATAACCTCATGACTTCAGCCCCTTGACCAGGGCATCATTCAATTTGTCAAGGTCACATACACCTGCCTGGTATTTGATTACATTTGATCAGCAATTGATGCAGACCCTAATCTGGACAAAATGCACTGCTGGAAATCATTCACTATTGCTGACACAATAACATTCCTCAAAGCTGCAATGGATAAATGAGACCTAGAAACTGTAAATGCCTGCTGGAAAAATTTATGAAGTCGTGAATGATTGTAAAGGCTTCCTGGGGATCAATGGAGAAGTTAGGAAAATCATTCACAGGGCAAGACAAGTTGATGGAAAAGGAGATTGATGAAGTGCAAGAACATACTGAAGGCCACTGAGAAGTGTTAAAGACCGAGGGACTGGGAGAACTTACTGAGTCAGCTACAGAGGGAGAGGAAGATGAAGAAACTGAAGCAGAACCAGCGATGTGAACATTACCAAAATTTGCCAAAGTGTTTCAAATTGCACAGATATTAAAGGAAAAAATTATGGAATACGATCCTTGGACGGAACACAGCATTGAAGTCACCCGTATGATCACCAAAGGATTACAACCTTTGCAGCAACACTTTGATGAGTTAGAAAAAAAGAGTGACACCTTCCGATTACAATGCCCTTCCAAAAGTTTTTGGCAAAAAAAACCCCTTAAGCTATCAAAGATTCCCAACCATTGACATTATCTGCTCCTGTCGTCCAGCCATCAACATCGTCATAGTTTGATGGATTACCTGAAGCAGATGATCCTCCCTGTGACCTGTTCAGAAGGTCAATGGTAGCCTAATGCTATGTCACAGTACCTATGTCATTCACCTCAATCTCATCACATAGGCACTGTATTATCTCATATCACCACAAGAAGAAGGGGTGAGTACAGTGCAATAAGATATTTTGAGAGAGAGAGAGAGAAGGACCACATTCACATAACTTTATAATTGTTCTATTTTATTATTATTGTTGTTAATCTCTAACTGTGCCTAATTTATAAATTAAACTTTATCAGAGGTATGTATGTATAGGAAAAAAACATAGTATATATGGGGTTGGGTGCTATCTGTGCTTTCAGGCATCCACTGGGGATCTTGGAACATATATCCCAAGGGTAAGGAGGACTACTGTGTTGAGTTTAACATTCTCCCTGGTGATGGCATTTGAGGAATCTCTTCCTCAGGCAAGATGATATGTGACCTGGGAAAGAAACTAGGAATTTTCAAATAAGAGAAAACTTTTTGTTACCAGATAAATATGGGTTCAGAGTTTCTGATGTTTTTCATATGCGAGACCTTTGGCAAATCACATAAATATGTAAACCAAAGCTCTCACTGAGTTATTGAAAATATTTAATAAATACTTTTAAGCATTTGGCCCAGTGTTTAAAAAGCAATGGCATTTATTATTATTATCAGGCCTAGGAGCCTAAAGTATGAATGTAGAGAAACAGACCCTGGCACAATGCTTATTTCTTTTAAATAATTTTAATAAAGTTATATTTGGTATTAAAATATACTTATCTTTAATAAAACAAACAATATTTTAATAAGTTAAGATTTGATAGCTAGTTATTATTATTCACAACTGTTTTTACTCTATTCCACTGCCACAGAAAGCTTTGGCAATAATGGAATTCAAAACAGTTCTGCCAGACTTGAGGATCTTAAGCAATACTAGGTGAGACCATATTCAAAAGAACTCAGCAAGCCTTGATATGGGAAAGTGGAAAAACAAGAGCTATAAGCTAGGTGTCCCTGGTTTCACACTGGCAGCTGGAACGCAGGGTAGGAGGCAAGGTACTGGAATGAAGTCAGGAGACCTTCACTGTTTTCTCATGTGGGTTAAAAAAGTCATTTATCTACTCTGGGCATTACACATATATAAAGAGAGGTTTTAATAAAACTTTTGCTCTAGTCCCTATGTTGTGTTGGCTATCTTCTTATCTTATTAGATATAAACTGTTAGTGGTCTGCTTCTCATTTTATTGCCAGAATATCCTGTCTCCCCATCTTAAAAACATACCTGGTCACATACATCTCAAACAGGGAGGTAAAAGTAATCTTTATGCAAGTCTTACAGACCACACCTTATGCCTTGCTGTAATCTCATGTAGACACCATGATGAAAACTACTTTATGAGGAATTTGACATAGAATAATACTAATAAGATGTATTTATTCAAATAATGAAGCATCTTGCCAGAACTAAGAACAAAAGGTTTTGCAAGTTCCTTCCTTTCATTTTGGGGTGTTTTTTTCCCCCGCTAGAGTTATATAACAGGCATTATTAATGACAGGAATTATTTATGGTTTTATCTGATGGAACAAATCATTAGAGCAAGAGGTGTCCTGGGCATGGGTTCAATTCCTGATGTATGATTCAATTATGTGATATTGGATACCCCAAGGTGACATGGGTGGGCCATGGCTCAGCACTGCTCTGATAACCATTATGGGTGTAAATCCTGGAGGCTGGAAACTATTGCCTAAACCTTGTTCCTCTGTAGAAGATTCTCTAAGAGAGTCTGGAATCCCAAGAATGAATAAAAGGCCTGGCAGTCACAACTTTCCTGGAAAAATAGACTGAAAATCCTACTTTTACTTCCTATTCTAAGAGGTACTTTTCATTATAAAGTAACTACTAAGATTTATATAACTCTTTGGAGTTTTATCTGCTCTTTCCTTCTGCATCCTCACAGTAAATCTGTATTTAGGGCAGGGATCGTTATCTTTCCCACTTTACAGAAAATCAGCCTGGGAGAAATCCTGCAATTTACCAAAGTTAATCAGTATTTGTTCAGGGTCCACTGTAGCCCTGACTTCATTTCTTGTGCTCTGCCACCATCCTTTAGTTGTCAGGAGATTCTGAAAACCAAGGGCTCTAGAAAAGGCATTATCTCAATTAAATAAAGATTAGCTACACTGGAAGGAAATGCCTTTGTTAAGAAAAATACCAGTACTATTTTCTGAGATGAATAAATGACTATTCTCAGTTCCATGACAAAGATTTTCAAGGATTCAACAAGACCATAGCTTGCCAACTCAAATCAAAGGAAGCCTGATGGGGTTAATGTGAGAACTAAAATGGAGGTTCGAGTTTGGGATAATAATGCTGCTAGTGTTCCAAGTAGTACCAGCAGACAAGATGCAGTTACCTTTCTAAAAAATTTAAATGTTGATTTAATGTTTTAAATGTTGATTTCAAGAATATACAACTACATGGATGAGTCAGGCAGGAAGACAGCTGATTAAAATCTCATGGCCTAAAACAAACTATAATAGTAAAGCATTAATTGTTAGAGGAATTAGACTTAAGTCCTGACCAAATGTGACATCTTGGCAAGTCAGTGAACTTCTCTGAAGCTTAATTTATTCCTTTGTGAAAAGATGTGAATGACACCTTCCTTTTTTCATTACCATGACGGTCTCATGTAATCAAGAGCAGAGTTCATTTTTGTATCCACCTGAACAGGTAGTATATACTAGATACTCAATAAATACTCACTGAATCAACTGAATAAAATGTGAAAGTGATTTGAAATTGTGCATTCTTAGCAGAATGCAGGAATCTATGGATTTCTTTGACTATGTTATTACCATCATAAATGTATAGCCTGCATTTATTTCTACAATGTCTTTGAGTTTATAACATCTAACCTACCCATCTTCTCTTGTAGGTCAAATGATGAAAGAGTTGGTGAAAGCCATGAGGGAAAATGTGTATTCCAATTCTAAATTGCATACCTTCAAAGAATACAAAGAATTCTTCAGAGCTCGTCTTATTTACTATAGAAAACAATACAGCTGTTGGGGGAATGGACTCACTGACTTTCAGTCTTTTCCATCTCTTTCCTCCTAGATTCTGTGATCTGAGGGCACAGAGACATCTTCACCCAGTCTGTGCTGTGGAAACCTCCTGATCACAATGCTGTCTGTCCAACTGCTTGTTCAATAAAAGTAAACCCTGCAGAACGCCATTTCTGGGATTTCTTTGTCACTGCCTGGATAATAGGAACTTGTTTTTGCAGAAGCTGAATGAACTCTACCTTTTGGTTTTTCTAAGCCTATAGGTGGACGGAGAATGCTTTCTTCAGGTTGCTGTCATGGTTGTAAAGCAATGTCTAGAAGAGAGGTGGGGATGTAGGGGTTCCCAGGCAGCCAACAGCTATATAAAGCCAAACCAGATATGAATCAATAATGCATAATTTCCTGTATCAGGGCCTTGGACACATACATAGTCTGGGCGAAGACCAAGGCAACAAGAGTTACCAAGCCCCATGTCAAGTGCTCAAGAGCTACATGTATTATAGCTAGAGGCTATTAAACTAGGCAACGACCTAATACACATGAGAAATCCACCAGAGAATATAAGCACTAGATAGCGGTGGGATGGAACACGTGTAAGCTCCTGCCTCAATGCTGAAACACTCTCATGCTCAGGACCTTGCTACCGGTGTCCTGTGACAGTATCTAGTTATATTGTTCACTTGCAGATTCCAGGCTAATGCTGAACACACTGTAGATGGAGGAAGCTGTGGGGAATCCACCATGCTTCTAGTTGTTCTCAGCTCTAGAACTGTGCCGGGAATGGCAGGCCGACTTGGATTTGGGGAGTTAATTTTGTATTGATTCCTCTGCCCTTTTTCTTTTAGATAAGTTGCCACTTGGCCCATTATAGTAGGATTTTATGATCTTTGTCCTCTTTAACTGAGTGAAGATAAATCATTCCCTACGGTGTTTTTTTTTCTTTTTATGTTATCATTAAGAAAAAAGAAAGAAGACTTCTAAATCATTTTTCAAGCAGGAAAACACAGAGCCATTTCAGAAAAAAAAAAATGAGAAAACAATGTTGCTATTTTCTTTGGTAATTCCAGGACATACAGAATGGGTTTACAGATACTATAACATCTGAGATTGTATCTCCTTCCTGGTTATTTCTAGGAAATCCAGAAATACCACTTTCCTGGCCAAGACATATGATTTTTGAGAAGTAATCACTTTATGTCATTTTGAATATTTTATTGAGATAACAACAACAACCCCCCTGTACTACCTTCATTATTATTCTTTTGATTATGATTATCAGGTAATATGCACAAAAGACTACGTTCTCTCACACTCAAGACTTAAGCAACCCTTGATAATAATTCTGAGCACCAGGGAGAAAGTGTGGCTCAGGGATATGGTGAGGTGAAGGATAGGGTGGTCTAGAACGGGATGAGACACAGGAATGGAGAAAATTCCAGGGACCTAGTCAAAGTCAAGGGTGAAGTAGGGGACAGAGGTCAGAGATGAAATGAGAACCAAGGAAAATAAAGCAGGGAACGGACTGAGGCTCTGGGATTGGGGTTAAGAGTGTGAATGTGTTGAACACATTACTTGGGATTAAAAAAAAAAAACAACTGTAAGTTGTTTATTTTGGAGACACAATCTGGAGGCAAATATAAAATGTCATCTGTGTCAAAATGGTCACAACAAAATAGCTGTATTAACTATCAAGTAAACTGATTTTTGAGTTGCTTCCTGAGTTATATCTTGACATCCGAATGGGAGGTAAATGAAAACCAGACCCATCTTACTGATGTTTCACAAACCAGCCCTAAAATTCTAAACCAGGAAGTGACAAATGATCCTGAGATGGACCTAAAGAAGGCCAGACTATTTCTATCACCTCTTCCTGGTCGCTACCACAGACTTATGCATTTCTCTATAACTATACCTCAGATTCCACTTTCAGAATGTGGGTTTTCATAGAAGTACCACTGTCAAACTCCTTATTTTTTCATGTCAGGAACTCACCTGAAGTCTCCCTCTCTCTCTCAAGGCTTCAGAAACAAGTACAGAGAGCACGTGTATAGACTACAGGTCAGAAAACTTTTTCACTAAAGAGCCAGATAGACTTTATGGGATAAACAACCTCTGTCACAACCACTCAATGCTGCTGTTGTGTTAATATAATGAATTTTCATTATGTAAATTCATATGCATAGCTATGTTCCAATAAAACTGTATTTATAAAAATAGGTGGTGGGCCAAGTTTGACCTGTAGGCTGTAACTCAGTTATAGTTAAGAATCTGTCTCTTGGGGCTTCCCTGGTGGCGCAGTGGTTGAGAGTCCGCCTACCGATGCAGGGGACATGGGTTCGTGTCCCAGTCTGGGAGGATCCCACATGCCGCAGAGCGGCGGGGCCCGTGAGTCATGGCTGCTGAGCCTGCGCGTCTGGAGCCTGTGCTCCGCAACGGGAGAGGCCACAGCGGTAAGAGGCCCT